GAAAAAGCAAACGGGCTCAGGCACAGAAACTGAATGGAAGATCAACGTTTCTCTTTTGTCTGCATGGTGTCACTCAGCTGCTTCGTAAATCACACTTTCATACCAGCTGGAGCCAGGTTTTGGATAGTACTTATTACAAAAGGAGAGTGAGGAACAAATATTTCTAGACCCAACAAAAGGAACAGTGTTCCTCCCTGGTCCTACTGAGTGACCTCAGTGTTCATGTGCTTGCTTAATAATTTAAAATATTCTATCAGAGAAAATTGCATGGAAATGAAACCTCCTTATTTCTAAGCTTCCAAACATGGCATTCTGCTAGATTAACCAAGCAGAGGGGCAATGAGTGTAAAATAGCTCGAACCAAGAGAATGAAACTGTTCAAGGAACTTCAGTCTTCCTTCAGCAGTGTTGAAGGGCAATCTTTTGAAGCACATGCACATTAACGTAACTGCAGTGCCCATAGCCCAAGGCTAAATGAGAGACTCTAACCACCAATTCTCAAGACCAGTGTCAAATAACACACTTAGAATAAGAACACTAAGCTTCTGTACACCGAAGCATCGCTGGGGAAATCACTGGTGCACAGCATGGAGCGCAACACCTCAGAAGTTACAGTTTAGCCCAAAGCCATTTTGGAATATTTATTATTTGGGAAATCGGCAGCAGCACAGAGGTAAGACTTAGAATTATTTGCTGATGCACATGCAGGAGGTGTAATTTGTCTGCTTTTAAAAAGTATTCATAAATTTCATGAACTAGAAAACCAGTTGGATCTGATTCATAGGAGGTTTAGATGAACCAAGGGAGAATTAATTTAAGTATGGAATCTACAGTCTGGTAGGTCAGTCAGAGTGACACAAAATGTGTAGCAGCAGTTTTCTTCGTAAAAAATAATTAAGACTTCTTCTAGAATTCTTTCTATTTTAGACTAACTTAGTACAAATGGCTTACCAATGACTTTTTAGAGTTTTCTTTTAAAACGTGATCATACAGTCTCCTTCTTAAGTCTGCAAAACTTCAGTGAAGCGATAGACTGTTTTCTTACATCGGGCCATATCACACTATAGTGAGGGGAGTGACACATCCAATAGGTAGAAAATAATGGAAGTCAATTTTCAAATTAATATAAAGACACTAGAAACTGGAATAATTCAGCTCATTGAAATAGTTCAAAACCTTCCAAACATTCAGATTTAAATCACATCGGTTGCTCACAGTATCCAGAGTGCAATTTTCTGAGAACTAGAGGAAACCTACGCTTAGGAGAGCCATAAAAAGGAGTTCCTTGGTTGTGTCCAACCTGTGGGACTGGGGAGCATTCTCACTTACTGGGAGCACATTCCATCTGTGTCCTTACTGTAGGGATAAGATTTTTGTGCCTCCTCTTTATGTTTTGTTCTCTGTCAGAGGGAAGAAGAGCTCTGAGATTTGCTGGTCTGGAAGAGTAGGGGATAAATGCTGCTGTACAGACAAGATGTATCCCTCAGGAATCAGGTTCTGTATGGGTCTAAAACTTGGCAAGTTCTTAAATATTTCGCAGAATGAAAGCCTGACAAGACTCATAAATGCAAGTTTTGCTTAGTCTTGAAATTATCTAACTATTGTCCCGTGTAAATTTAAGGCTACTTGATGCAATCCAACATAATTACCTTTATGTGGTGACAAATTTTTGTTATTTTAAGAATTCCTGAATTTATGAGACTCTACGGCAGGCTATAATCAAAGTATAATATAATTGTATGATTTCATACCAAAAGCTGTAAATACAAGTGTGGGATTTCATACACCAGCCCCATGAATTGTATCCTCCTTATTCATCAGTTGGATTTATACAGGAACACCTAATTTAAGTATTACAGGGGACACACATTAAGGTAGATTGCAAGCTACTGTTTCTAGTTCTTTCTGGCAATCTTCTATTAAGAAATCTCACCTGCTAGCACAAGTACAAGCTTACACCTCTGACAAGGTATGAGTCAACAGTTGGTTTTCATAATCTTTCTATTTAACACAGACCCTAGGCTAGGAGAAGTCTCAGTTATGAATGCATTTGGAATATATCTCTGATCTGATAAATACTTTAATCAATTATTTCAGTTTTAGGATTTGGAATCTCCCACATATTAAATACCTTCTTAGGACAGCAGGTGATGAGTACTACTTAGCTGACACATTTCCTTAAAATGATCTCTTAAGAGGTAAGGTATGAGCAAATTAGTTTCAGAGCTTGCAACAGACTTTTTAAAGCGTATCTACAGATAGTTACAAAAAGTAAGTTCTGGTTTAATAGCAACACTTTAGAACTCTGATTCTTCTTGCTGGCTTCTGCAGCTTGTTTTAATCACTTTTCTGTTCTTCACTGTGAAGATCTGCTTTGATCATTTACACTGCCAGAGTCAAGTAGGAGTCATAAGGTCATCATATTGGTCATTACAATGCATAAATACGAACAAGGTAACCTGTATCCGCTGTGTTTCACAGGTGTAGACAGCAATCTTGATGAGTCCTAGAAACAGAGGAAGCGCTTCCTTCAAACCCAGATGCAGCTACCAGAGCTTCATGAGCAGACAATGGCTCAGAGCAGTGGTTTTTCCCCCCCACTCGCAGTATATGAAAATCTCACATTTGATCACCCTAGATGTTCTATCTGTTGGGGCTCAATGACCCAGTAATTCTAGACAGATCCCTTTCCACTTAATATAAGTGAAGAACACAATTGACTTAACTTTTTTTACTCTTTTTGAATCAAAGCAAACCATTTCTAGGAATGCAGAGGAAAGAGGGATCCCTATGAATACCAACAAATTGTTTCAAATGATAAACGTTCCAGAGTCTCATGAGCAGACAAGCAGACCAAGCATTCCATAGTGGAAAAGTAGAGATCCACTGTAGAAGAGACATGTCTGTCTCTTTTTTTATAGCTGCTAGTTCCTCTTTACTATTCTTGTGTTTGTTTCTAATGAAGAAGTCTGTAATGCCATTGCAAAATATTTCTTACAACACTGGGGAGTTTCAATAATTTTCTAGTTATTATGAGGTGCTTGTGTTGTCTGGGATATACATGCAGAGTAACAAGACATACTTTCATAATGCCAAGTCAACGTAAGAGTTATTGTGGAGTGTTTCAGCTTTGAAGTAGACTTCATTAGAGAAAATAAAAGTAGATTCACTCACAGATTGTTAAAGACCTGAGGAACAAATTTCTTTTACTGAACTTCTGCTGGGAGCTCTTATCTGTGTGTTCAGACTGTTCACAAAAGCTTTCTGTCTGAATGAGGTTTATGAAACACATGAAGTGTTGGTGAAGTTCTGTGGTGGCTGGAAATACATCTTGCCTGAGAAGTCCTTGGGATGATCAATACTTTGTCATGAGCATTCTTTTCCTAAGCTACCTGGTTTTCATATCAGCGTTGCAGGATATAAACTGAAAAGGCTGAAAGGGAGAGGACAGAAAGTGAGATCCCCCTGACTTTGCCTAAAAGGAAGTTAAAAGATCAGCAAAAATAAAACAAATTTAAACTCAAGGAAAGCAGTAACAAACATGCAAGTCCTTTTAGAGCTAACAGAAGTTAGTCCAATGCATAGCTCCTAGTTGCTCTACCAGTGATCTTTGCTCCAAACTCTGGTCATTATTTTATCTGGTTGATCACTAACTAATGACTTGTATTACAGGAAGCACTGAGGCATTAACAGACCGAAGAAATTCTTCAGTAGCAGTTTACATTAGCTATTAAAGCTTGTATAATCAGTGCATTTAAGTCATATTCCTGAATTACAAAAGTATATAACCTTCATAAAGGGACTATAAAAAAAGCATTAGGTATCTGGAAGAGTAAAAAGAACACAGGCCGAAGCGAGAGGAGTAGTGACAGACATACGCAGACAAAACAGGAAAGAAGGTGGCTTGCAGCAGCTTAGAAAATGCAGAATTAAGTTCCAGAGCAGAATTTAGAGTTAACACAGACAAAGAGGAGAGAATAAAAGAGAACCATGGCTGGAGAATTTGACCAAATGAAAACACACTTACTGCCAATTTGGTTCTATATGGAGAAGAAATTACTAGTGATGCAGTCTTCTACTCTCACTTTCATTCGTGGGGGAGGCTGTGAGGAAGTGAATCTCGAGTCTGAGAATTTCCTCTACACTTAAGGTATATAGCATCTTGGTTTTGGATCCTGTAAATTCTGTTCTCTTATATAAAATTAAGCCTTTATATTGGTCTCAATAATACCATGCATAAAAGGTTAACACAAATATCTATCCACAAAACCTCCCACAAAAACCTGCAAACACTTCAGCACATATGGCAAATTTAGATGTCCATGACGTTTCTGAAAGCGTTCAATCTAGTCATTAACTCTGGCCTTTGCAAAAGAAAATTAAAAACTTGCACTAAGAAGCAAAAATTTAACTATGCGTCTTCTTCACTCATGACTTCTACATTTTCTAATGACAATCATCCATGAGAGTACATTCCAAGTAGAATCATTCAAGTTGTGTTTAAGTGTCCAGGAAGTCCTGTATGGTTATGAAAGCTGCCACCAAATGAGGAGCTTTTGTATCTAGCAGTCACAAGCAATTCGCAGTCAGGCAGAAGCACTCCAACAGGGATACTTAATCAAGTCCTTTGAAACCATCTGACGGTAACGTTTAATACGACAGAGTTGCTACCAAAATACAACTTTATTGATAAAACACCAATTAAAGACAAACTAAATGTAGAACAAACATGTTTCAGAGATGGCAGTGTGAACGAGGTATTAAATACATTTTTAAGGAGCTATACAAAAAAGGAAAGAGACAGTTATAACAACCAAATTGTCTCTGGCAAACTGCTGAGACACAGACTAGTTCATGTGGCAGGCTTAGGAGGTTATCTATGCACTGATGCAATGTCCACATTCTTCAGCGAGTCCCATGTGAAGTATTGCAGAAACTGCTACAATCACTGTTCATGCTTACATTTGAAAACAAATAAATAAAAAGTTAACAAATTATTCTCTATAATACAAAGTGTGTTGGTCCTCTATGAAGTCACAGGGTGTTCTCCAAGAGAGTTTCTCCCAGTGCAGTTAAGGAGTCACAAAGGCGTTCTTGGAAACAGCTGTCAAACATGGCACGCACTTCCTCTCTCAACTCCCTCAGCAGAGGCACTGTGGACTTACCATCTGCATTCAGAATTCTCCCAAAGAATTTACTCCAAAAATCACTGTCAACAGTCCTAAAACAAACAGAGTGGTCTTCAGTAAAATTGTATGCATACACAACATGTCTGTCAAGATTTCCATTTATATTCAGCACTAAATGCCCTGGCAAAACCAAGTCTGAAATGATAGTTTCACTCACATGAGTAAACGTAAAGAAAAACTAAGAATGTATTGTTAAGTTTATGCATGCGAGTCCCTTTCTCTTTCTCTGGTAGGATTCTGGATAGTAACTAGCTGAAATGATAGTTTCACTCACATGAGTAAACATAAAGAAAAACTAAGAATGTATAGTTAAGTTTATACATGCGAGTCCCTTTCTCTTTCTCTGGTAGGCTTCTGGATAGTAACTACACAGGCTGTTTCACAAGTCTATCAAAACCACTGTTTCTACCATTACCTGTTCTGGTGTACTTGACCACTGTCACCATTCACATTGAGCCACAGCACTTTTAAATTAAAGAAGTTATCAAGAGCATTCTTTGAACCAACAAAGTTGGCAGATTCCTTTAATGAATCAAGGGTACAAGTAAACCTTATTTCACCTTTTGCAAGTTACGTTCACAGGCCAATATTAAAGGAAAGTGGAATTCAAGAGAATTCAATAAATATTCAAGAGAAATTAAAAATAAATAAATAAAGTGTGGTTTACAGCCAGTTTTAGAATTCAATAAATATTCAAGAGAAATTAAAAAAAATAAATAAAAAAGTGTGGTTTACAGCCAGTTTTCCTATCTTTTTTCCTGCCTTCCAACAGCCAGAACTCCCATATACATGGCATTTAAAAGACAATTAATAGTAATAAATCCCCTGTCTCATAGATATACCCACACAACAATAAAAAGGTTAAACCTGTTAAATCTCAGAACACTGATATCAGATCTAAACCTCTGTTCTTCAGTCTTGTACTGAAGTCCATAGACCACCTTGCTTCTGACTACTGAAGCACTTCTCTCCCTCAAGCTTGGAGTTACATTGGCTTTTGAACAAATTCTCTGCCTCTGTTTTATGTAAGCAACTCACAAAACAGCAGCAGCCACAGTCTCAGAAGGAATCTGGCCTGCACTATTACACTTGTAACTCTTGCATTTTCTAAGAGAATGAAGTAATACAGACCATAGCAAAAGAAAAGGAAAAAAAAAAAATCAAGACTTGAAGTCATTCCTGCATGGACTTAGACAAAAAGAGACATAGCAGAGAAGGTTACATGTTGGTAAGGATGTCTAGGGAGTTACGAATTGCAAAAATAGTCCTAAAAGTTCAAACACAGCTTCTATAAGCTATCTCACATAAGCCTGCACAGACCAAGTTTCCTAAAATAGTAGGAGTGAAAATAGAAAAACTAAAAACACTCCTGGAAGTAAAAAAAGAGAAATATCTCCAAATCCATTCTTTAATAATGGTAACATTATGAAACTCCCTCCCCTGAAAAACAAGCTGTCAACCTTACAGTAATGCTTGAAGATGAAAAAAACCAACTTGATCAGAATTCACATTCTATCTTTCCAGAAGTCCTTCCTACGACATCAAGTGCTGTGCATTCATTCTACCAGCTTTTAAGTGGGTTCTGCCTTATTGACTGCCATTTGCCTTAGAAGAATAATTTTGTGTTTTGCCTTGCAATTCCCCACTGCTTCTCTTGTAGAATTAAATAGATAGATACATTTTTAAAGGCAACGCTTATCAGAAATCTGTCCTTCTGTCCCAACAGAATATTGTTAAAGACAGATCATGTTCTGATAGAAATCAATATAATGGAGTCCTATTTTTCAGAGCAGGTCAGACTTACTTGTCTCAAGGATATGTAATGTTAGAATATCTGTTAGTAGAGAGCAATAGCCAGTCTCCATCAATGATTTAGTTGCCCTTTTTTTTTTAGTATTTCTGAAACAAAGTCAGTATAAGATATGTATTTATTGCCAATTTATACATCATTGATATTAATCTCTTCAGAAGGTAGCCTTGGTGATTTCATTCTTCACAGCCTAGTGCTGTAAGTTGATCCTCTGAAGAAAAGCCAAAAGCTACAGGGTAGAGTATGGCATGCATACTGAGTACTCAGCAGAAACCTGCTACAGCCTTGTAACCACTGGTAACAGTCTATAACAATATAGAAACACAGATACACACCAAGCACAGAAAAACGCATTTTTCCCCTACACACAGCTCAAGATTGAGGTTATTTTTCCAAAGGTTGAATACAAGAAGCTAGGAAGTCTACGTAATGCAGGTTGCTAGGGAACTGGACAACTCCCAGACTGGTAGCAGGTTTTCTTAAAGCAATGGTTATAGAATTATATCCACACAGCAATTGTAGCTAATGTACCACAATTATAAATGCAGGTATCTGTCAGGTAATTTCTGTCATAAGCAGAGCACTCTGGAAAATCCTTATGACATGCTAAGGCATAAAATTCTGCAGAATGTGACTAACAAAGTGAACAAGTGTTTAGTCTAAGAGCAAACAAAGGGTAGATGAAAGCAGAGTACTCTTATAGCCAAAACACATGGCTAAAAGAGAGCAGTAGAGATGAATACCTGAGGACAAACAGCAGCTTCCAAAAAGAAGCTGCTTGCAAATGCATTTTGAATTATAATTTTAAATTATTTTTCTCTCTTGTGCATGTATACTGTTTCTGCAACTGTTACAGAGAGAATGCTGGCATCAGTGTCCTAGTAGCCCTTTAACAGGGCCTAGAATGAAAAGGACAGAAAACCTAAATCTCCATTTCTAAAGCAACATGCTCATGCAATTTTTCCCCTCACCAACCAACCACTTACAAACTTCTCCAACCCTGGTCTATCAAATTAAGAGGGAGACTAAAGCAGTCTGATCTGAAAGGATAGAAGCAGCAGTATCATCTTAACTGGACTGTCTCCTACACAGCACTAAGACTAACTAGACAATGAACAAGTCTAGTAGCTTCAAAATTAAGTCGCCACAGAATGAATGCTTTCAGCTACAGCAGCACTAATTTCTGTGGTCTAAGCTTTGAAGATGGTACAATTGCAAACAAAGTGAACGAAGTCTGCTCTTTCCCAGCAGCCTCCCCTGCAAAAGGACTTACTTGGATACATTTTGGCTGATTTTCCAGATGGAATTCTCTTGATAGACCTGGAGATGATCCCCAAAGAGCATCAAATGGACTATATCTGCAATGCCAACCAAGTCTACCTGCAATCACAACAAACATCAGAAAGTTCAAACTTCTGTCATCTTCTGCAGTCTACTACAGATTTCTACTGTTTGTGCTTTTACAAATTTAAGTCTGAATTGGTCTTCACATAAGAATTTTCCAGAGACCAGCTAAGCAAGAAAACTTCAAAAAGTAAAATTCTGGTCGTACTGTAAATTCCTAAATAAATGCAATAGTCACAGGCACTCAACAACACTGCTAGTCCCTTCACTTAATGCCAAATATTTAATCAGATGAAAAAAAATCTATTTAGTTATTACTTATTGATCAGAGCTCTCCACAGAGTTTGCAAAATATAACTTAAGAAAATAGAGATTTTGTAAAGGAAACACAGAAGCGAAGATGTACTGCTCAATAGATACTCACTTGATAAGGAAGAGAACTTTCTGTCAGAAGCTGTTGTCCATAAGGGGTCTGAGATATTGGAAAGCTGTTGGGCAAACTTACTCGAGACTGTAATCTCAAATCTAGACTGTGAGAGAAATCCACGATCTTCAGAGCTCTTGACATCTCATCATTACCAAAAGGATCATAGATCCTGAGCAAGGAAAGCAAATCAGGTATAAGACAATCCAACAAACTTTTTTTTTTTAAAAAAATGCAATTTAACAGTGGAATGAAGGTGAGTCTCGGCTATGTCAATGCTCCCCTCTGATGGTTAGCTTAAGAACTACTGCTGAAAGGACTAGCCTTGGACAGGGAACCAGCTGGCAGTCTGAAGCTTAAGGAGGATACTGGTATCTCCAGAGTAAGCAACGGGAAACACTACCAGGTCAAGGACATCTCTGTTTTGATATTTGTCAAAGTTATCTGAAACACAGTTGGTAGAATGGGAAAACAGCACAGTGCTTAGCACTTCTCCTTCAAGATCTCAGAATATTTTATACAAGAGAAAATTAAACTTCACATTACTTAAAAAAAAAATCTTTCCCGGTCTATACACTAGGGAGGACAAGCAGAAAAGACAGTGATGAGTATCTGTGTAGATGACGGTGCACTGCCAAGCCAACAACATGAACAGATCACACTTCTCACCAGCATTCTTCTTACATACTTGTATGCTATGAGCATATTTTGTAATTGATACTATGTGCTTGTCCTAGGTTATTTTTTGCTATCAAAAAAACCCTCAGAACAAACTCACACCAGTATCCTAACTTTTTGGCACTTTGGTTTATATTTGCCACAGAGAAATCCAGCAGGAGATATCCATGTCCATCAAGTCACTGTTAGATCAGAGACTTCAAAAGTGGGATGCATGCACCCTAAGAGATGTGCAAGACAATCCATTGGGGTGTGTGAAGAAAATATTAGAACTTCAGCAGTACATGCATGTAATTTATAAATAAACAAATTCTATAAATAATTATAAATAAATTCTAAATAAAATATATTGGGATATATCGGGATTGGACGAGATGATCTTTTGAGGTCCCTTCCAATCCCTAACGTCCTGTGATTCTGTGATATCAGAGATGCACATGTTAGATGACTACAGGTTCAAAATACATTTAAAGTTAATAGCTATTTTTAACATATCAGTGAAGACTAAGAACAGCCTTAGTGAATTTCTTTTAATGGAATTATATCTGAATCATTACATTCCAAAATTACTGTCTTCCCACACTCAGATTGCAGATTACATTTAAAGGGATATGTAACTTTGTTAATGTAATATGGGAAAGAGCTTAAAGAAAACTAGATATGTGCATCAAGTTACAAGCTGAACTGTAGCGGAAGCTAAGCAACCTGTTTAAGAGTGCGTCTGGATATTTCAAGTCCCACCTGACCTTTGGTTTCTAATTCCCTGTTTATCAGATATGTCAAACCGGGAAGCAAGTTATTTACCAATATCCAGTTAGCTGTCCAATACACTAGTTAAGTAAAAACTGAGAACACAAGCTATAGCAAAACGTTTTGTTTAGTAGAAGTTTTACAACATCATTGCATACTATTTCTATAGAAATAAACAAAAGAAAGGTTTATTCCTAAACAAAGTGTTTTCACTATTTTCAGAATACACTGTAGCCTAAAAAAAACCTGGACTGCAAGATCAGTACTCCAACTAAAGAGGGGAAATTACAAAAGCACAAAAGTTGTAGCTGAAACAGTATTATAGATCCTCCCATATTCATACACAGAGACCAACCTGTCTCCCAGAAAGAACACCTCTGGACTCAGGTCTCCATGGACAATCTCTGCTCTATGGAGCTTCTCTACCACGCCCAGAAGATTATAAACGACCAGTAGGATAACATCATCTGTGATGGACTTACAGCCACGAATAACATCCTGAAAACAGGAAATAAATATGTATCTATATACCGTTTTACATTAGATTAAGTGAAATATTTATAGCTCACCTGTTTTCCTTATTCATCTGTCAAGAGATAACACTCCTACCCTAAATTCAGCATAATCAGATTTTGCCGGTGATTGGCACAGCCAGAATTAAAAAGAACCATGAGCTCTTAGGAGACACTATTGTTCAGAAGTGGACCAAAGATCAGGAGGAGGAAACTGAACTCAAGACTGAAATCACTATTTAATTTGTATCCTATTTATATGCAACAATTCAAAACGCACTTACAAGACTTAATTTAAAATGTAAATCCTTCGGCAAAACACTAAATGCTACAACCTTGCTATAGCAGACTGGAACTTATTGGAAGATGTCAAGTTAAACAAGAGTTTTAGATGCAGACCTTATTATGGAATACCACATACTTCTTGGTTCAGGTTGTTTAGAGCTCATCAATAAAGAAAATGTGAAAAATCAGTTCAAGTTTGTCACTGATAAGCACATGATCTACGAATGAGAAATAAGCTTTGACTAAGGCTATAATAGACAGTCCTAATTCATATATAGCTAAAACAAAAACCAGAGGATTAAACACACGAAGCTATCTTCAGCAATGAGCATAATGACAAACAAAACTCACTAATGGTACCTATGCAAGAGTTCATCTCATCTACAAGCATATTTTGTTGATCTGTACTGACCCCAAGCGTAAAGTAATTTATATTCCTGTGCAAAATAGCACAGCCGTCTTGATACAAGTAGCAGCTGAAATTCTCACTGAAGCTTTGCTCAAAGTCAGAATTCAAACGCTCCTGCAATTGAAGTGTGATATAAAAATCCCAAGGCACAGGCTGAGAATGCACCTACAAGAAGGTAGAGAAGAACAACATTTATTTTCAGAATAAAGTAAAATTGCTCATGTTCACATTCTTCTGCTCCATTTTTTTTCTCCTTACTTAACCAAGGAAGACATTTACCACAGTCAGAAACTTTTAATCTACATCAGGAATTAGAAAGAGGACTTGGAGTAGCAAGCTCCATGCACAGAATTCAGAAATTAAGACCAAACCTACTGCATTTTACTTTATATTGGCTGAGGAGATTTTAACATTTCACACTACTTATACAATAACCATCATACATGTTACCTTTATCGCAAATCCCTTTGTATCCAACCGGGGAGAGTTCTCTAGAATGGCAAAAAACATCTTGTGTTCTTCATTGGTCCAATATTCCCATTTGATACAGTAAGTGTCAGTTCCTGTTATGAAAGTTTACATTCATGAGCTGTAACAGCAAATATACGTACCCAGGCTGTTCAAATTATTCCCCTTCTACACCACAAAACTAGTGATGGTGAATATGAAGCCAATATTTGAATATTTCAAACCAATTAGAACATAAATAGATCCCTTGCACTGTACAGTGTTTGGCATACCTACCTAGTTCAACGTTTTTCTCAAACTGCATGACAGGCAGAGCGCCAGCCTCCAAATGAAAGTCTGGAGAAGCAGTCAATGATTCTGGCATAGGATCTAAAAGCTCTTTACGCCGTTCAGTGCACCACAAGACCTGAGTTACGTCATCACCTAGGAAGACAAGTAACAGGAACAGATGAGTTGAAACCAGGTGTTGAGTCTCTGTGATTTAATGGTATCTGTCAAGAAAAAATAACCTGGATATTGGAAGTTTTCTACCTGCATACTGATTTACTCCATCTCCTTTCAGGAAGTCAATTAATCTCTTTCCAATAGGTTCTTGTTCTGTGAAGTGAGCATAACACTCATCTTTGAAACTACCTTACAGACTATTTCATCATGAAGTCTCAATGATTCTTCTGTAGTGTCATGTAAAATGTATCCTTCACAAGAGACAGAGCTCTGAATTAGATTAGGTACATCTGCTCAGTCACAGCAGAATTCACAGAATCATTAAGGTTGGAAGATACCTCCAAGATCAAAATTCAATCTGATCTTGCAAATTAACACTCCTTTTTCTAAAATCTGTGTCCAGAATAAGCAATTAGTTTATGATTTTTAAAAGAAGAGTTTTATTGAAATTCAATCCTTTGAATATAGCAGGGGTTTTATGTAAGAAAATTAAAACAAAGTTGGACTCCAACTGTGCTGCTCACTGCAATATTAAGAATTTAACGGCTTTCATGTCCTGGAAGACACATAAGATATTTACCTGCAGGTCTGGGCTTATGTTCCTGCATAATAGTACAGGGAGAAAAATCATTCAATAGATGAGTTCATCTGTACAAAACCAAGGTAGCCTGAGAAGTGTTGATCTCAAATGATCAGGCAAGTAAAACGCAGCAGAACTAGACGGCTTTTATTGACTTCCTCTCCCAAAGACAACGACTAGTAACAGGTGACAACATTTTAAGCTTTCACAGTACAGAGATAAGAATCAGAGTATCATTACCTACTGTTATATTTGTATTTATTTGAAAAGCACTGCAGTAAGATATTGCTCAGAAAGTAATTCTGTGAAAGTAGCTCCAGGAAACATTGTAGGTTGAAGGCTAAATAGGTGTTCCAATATTTTACCATCACAAATGTATGGAATTTACTGGCATATTTTACAAGAATAAACTTACAGACATCCAAAGTAACTTTTCTGCTCTACACAGCATTAACGAATCCTCAGTTAGATTTGATACACCCAGGTTGAAAACTGCAGTTCTAGGGAGATGTGCAGAAAGCAAGAAAAACCCAAAAAAGGAACAGGAATGATAAAAAGTTTGAGAAATGACCATTAAAACATCTGAACAAATGCCTTCTTTTTCTAAAAAGAATCTGTAGAGATCCTTCATCTTGCTCTAAAGATTAGTGCATATGATAAAAAAACGAGTGTAAGATCTATCCAAAATATTTCAGCTATTTCAGTGACACCACTCTTCTAATTGTGTTGTCATTCCAGGTCCCAAGCAGGCTTCGTAAGATAGCCTGCAGACACACCATAACAATCTTCTCTAGAGTAGATACACTGAGAATTTTCAGATACACAGTTCTAATTAAAAATCTATTACTGATATTAATATATCATAAAATAAAATCGAAGGAGTTAAAGAAGGTTAAACACCTGGAAAACTGTCAGTCAACACAAACCTAATTCTACAGGGTGGATTTTGAAGGCTTTTTATGAGCATTCCTGTTCTAACTACAATATAAAGAGTTACAGAGATAAACAACGGTCTTCGGCCAGAAGAAAAAAATTAAAACTAACTATTGAAGTACCAGCATTGTTTTCCTTCAGTAGGAAAAAGAAACATACTGCAAAGCAGCACAATAGTTTACAGCAAAATTATGTAACTTTCACTAGTTTTCAAATTCACATTCACCTTTTTCAACATGGCATTTATCAGCACATGAGATCACACAGTATGATTAAAGAAAAAAATCAACACAAAACAAAGCTGTCTTATAAGTTCTCATTACCATCCAGTCCAAATTTTTCACTTCAGAATCTGACCTCATTACTCCTACACACTCTCTGCTTTAATACCTTAAATATCTTCTCCGTCACCTTAATATTTACGTCTTTTGGATGCTGACAAGCATGTTATGCTATGTAGCTCACTACTGCTGACAAGGGAGACACAAGTTTAGTCAGAAGTCAAAGTAACAGGAAATACACAGAAAGCAGAACAGAATACAGAAAGTACAGGAAAAGCATCATAGTTTAGTGACACCTGCAAGTTATTTGTTGTGAGTGAAACTCACTTTAGTACTAACCAGTAATGTTTTCACCAATACCTCCAGAATCAGTAACCATTTCTGCAGGCAAGCTATGAGTAAATTCCAGTTTCTCCGGGATATGCAAGTATTTTATAGTAGATATTTGTGTAACAGAGGAAAGAGAAGATCCTGAGGAGACAGAAGATCCTGACGAGCGAGTATCTTCCAGGCTTGCTTCCATGATCGGGCTGTAAATAAAGTTATCAACTAGTCAGACTTTCAGAAGATGCAGTGTCTAGGTAATGCCAGCCTAGCGACTACAAAAGGATACTATGTACTCCCAGACTTCTTCATGTCAAAGTTCTTTCCCACCCTTACTGGAAAACCAGTAGTTATGTCAGAGTTTCATTTTGGCTTCAATGCTTGTTTATACTCAGAATCTTAGTCTACAGATGAATTTTATCTTCTCTTCCATTAAATATAACTGGCATAACAGACGACATACTGAATGTTTACTACTCCCTTAGCTACCAAAAGTCAGAGCTACAGTGCTTTTAAAGCAGTGGAGGGTTGGGTGGGAAATAACTCTTGCTCTTCCTTCCTAATTATAGTCAGCATGGTTTCTCAGGGAACTTGACAAGCAAATAAACACCTTCAGTATAGTATACATGTTTGCATACTAACAGCTAGCAAATCAAACTCAACTCTAAATCAAGAAAACCCTGTACAAAGGATGCTTTTTTCTTTACAATTATAAGAAACAGGAGGTTGTTTGCCAGTTTTTTTTCCCTTCTCTCCAGCTTTTCTCCTCTCTTGAAGAAATCTAAGCCATAATCACCAGATGCATTTTATATAATAAAATAATGCCAGAGGCATACAAGTATTAAAGGAACTGATGATTTTACTTCTAATCTCCGGTTAGAGAGACAGAATGTGTTTATGAATTTCTTTGCAAGTTATCTGGTAGAAAAAGCATGGAGTTAAATCCCGTAGCAGTAATGCTGAGAAACCAAGTGGGCTTGCTATTACCTCGTAAATCTGCTCAAGGCAAAATGGACCCCGAGCTAGAGAAACGGCCACCTTCAGTACATTCTGATTGCTTTAGAAAATTGTTTCTTCAGAAACAGAATAGTAAAATTACAACCAATGGAAGACATATAGGAAAAGGGGCTTAAGATGCTTTGTTGTTAATTACCTGAGTTTCTTTATACAAAGCGCTTCACTGAATGCTCCCTCACAGACCGGTGTTTCCTGATTCAGAGATGCAGTCTTAGATTCTAGGGAGTCTTCCTTCAGGACACTCTCTGAAAAAGCAGGAGCTGGGACTCTCTGAGCTACCACCCCATGAAAGGGCGTTGAGGCCAAGTGGGCAGCCCTAACAAAGTCACACGTGTCTTCTGGGTTGGCACAAAGGGTTTTGTTCTTGTAGGAGCTAGTCACAATTGCATCTTCAGTCAAAGGTTCAATTCCATTCAGCTCATCCTGAAAAAAGTAGGAAGAGACAGTGAAAAGCCTGTGGATGTTATGTAAATTTTAAAAAAATATATATATTTAAAAGCTGAACATTTATCCCTCCCCTTTCTTCCACCTCACCACTTTCCAACATGAATCCGACCCTGAGTCTTCATGTACTCTACTTTTATTGCTCAATCAAATTAAGTAATGAAACCCTACATAGATACCCAACTAGACGATACCCAACCAAAGGGTAGCTTTGTTACCCTCTAAAGTGCTGCAGAGCTGCCATGAGATGTTGCAGGCTACTTATTATCTACCACACCAGAAGTGCATTTCAGTTCCGTTTCATATTCCATATTATTACAGCGTTTTCTAAAATGCTGGACACTGAAGACACATAGAACATGTAAAGCAGCACTCCGCAGTTATCCAGACTGACTCTAGAACCAAAACAAGCACGATGCTTACCATGCTTAACCTTGCTAAGTATTTCAATATTGTAGATGTACATAAAATTCTTCTCAGCTCAGAATAAAGTCCTCTCACTCAACTAGTCTAAAGGTCTATCACAGCATGCAGTAATTAAGTCCTTTGGTGAGACAGCAGCTACCACCTCTATTGAAAGCCTTACAAACATCTGCAAAACTGCCACATAAAGACACATGCTTTTTTATGAAACAAGATTAAAAAGGTTTAAGGGAGCCAAGCTTAATGTACTTCAGATGAGGAACAGAGATGCTTGTTGGGATGTGTGGCAAGAAAGTAGGTGGAACAGGAGCCACTATTTAAGGGTGCAACTCTTCATCACAGTAAGTTTCTAAAGTTTCAGAGTAATGCTGGCCACTAATCAGTTGCTTAAAATCTGGAAGGCTCCTTATCGTCATCTCCATATTGGCCACCTTAAAGCCCAATAAAAACATTAAATTCCCAGTATAATCTTAACACCACCCAATTTAAGTATTGCCACACCAGACAGAAGTTTAGCATCCTTGCTTATCTCACGTGACGTCAGTCCAGCCAATCCCACTCAGTTCAACAGTAGGACGTTCTATGGTGGTTTCTCCTTGACAAAAAATCTGCTATGAGGTAAATGGTTTCCTTACACAGGCTTCTGGTGATACGTTTTCCTCTGCAGTTAGAGAATCTGAAGCTTTACGAATGGCAAGAGGGCGCTGGGCACTTTTCTGTGTAGGATCTGCAGAACTACTAAAGATAAAGTTACATTCCATTAAATACTTATTAGAGTAGCTTCCAATCTTCAACAGAGATTCCTCTCAAGAGTTTAAGTCTACCAATCTACCACTTTCTATTACAGAACTACCAGTAAAGTGCAATATATACAGCTCTCCAGGATGAAGAGTTTATATAGCAGCTTAAATAGTTCTAGACTGAGAAGGAACAACAAGAGACTATTGCCTCATCATGGACTTCCCATGTAGAGTAATGAAATGAAACAAAAAATGCAAGTATAAACAAACCAAAACATCACTCCACATCCATTCAAGAAGCAGTACTTTATTTCAGCTACTACAGCAAGTAGTTGATACTTCAGTTTTCTCTCCCTCTGAAATCTAGGTCTTGAATAATTCTACCTTATAGTCTGATCTGTCAAAGTAGAGGATTCATCAAATATGGTGAAAAACGTAGCAGGATCCGCTGGGGGAAGATGACCTACATCTGTGAAGAAAAACCAAGAGGCTCTATTTTATCAGCAGTTTTTCTACAACAGTGTATCCAATGCTAATGAAAACATTTAATACATAGCCTGAAAAATACCAGTCCTAGGTAGACTTCCCAGGAAGTTACAGAACTGACATTTAAAGAAACCTATTTTAAAAAGGTTTGGTTTTGTCACATTACCGAACCACACTTAGCTTGCTCGTTTCAGAATACACTTCAGAATTGTACCTTCTTTTCCAAGGCTGGCCTCATCCTTCTGTTCCTCCTGTTCATTCTCAGAGTCTAAAAACACATTTCCTCTTTGCGTATCTGGACATATATAAAGAGACTGGATAACCTCTGTTAACAGTAAGGGTAGTCAATTCAGGTCAAAAGTAAATTTCTTCAGTACACACCCTTCCCAACAACAAAACTGAATATATTAATTTCTGATTGCATTCCTCCACCTAATCCTCTGAGAAAAAAAAGACTGAAGATAGTATTAATCTTAGTATTAAACTCTCTTACAGATTTTAGTAAGACTGCATATATGAAAGTGTGAAGAAAGCTCTTAAGCTATTAAAAGAAAAAGGCTCTTCTGCTTGAAAGTCCTTACAAATAATGACAGTTCTCAGACCTCAGATGCTCAGTCATTTGCTGACTATGATTGAAGGCACTCAATATTAGCATGCTCTCATTTGCATTCTTCCAATCCACCTAGACTTTTGGTTTTAGTTCGTTAGCCTTGCTATTCATATAAAAGAACACTTCCCTTCAACACAGCTTTCTACTTAATGGTAAATAATTTAATTTCTTAATGGTAAATAATTTAATTTAAATACTTACCCTCAGAACAAGATGGTTTATGCAGTTTAGTATCTTCAGAGACTGAGGATTCACTGTGAAGAAGATACAAACTTGTTTCTTATATTTTACACAGCTTCACAAAACATAAGTAAACTCTGTAAAGGCAAGCCAAGCTGACTTATGTTACTTGTAAGAAGTTTAAACCCCTCGGACAATCGAAAAAAGAAAGATTACAGATTTTGGTTACAGGCTGATGCTTAGGGGTATATTCCATTCTCTGTGGAAACAGGCTCTCTGTTAGCGATTCATGATACTCATAACTTCAACTTTTTCTATTGCTAGCAAAGGAAATCCTGTACTACCTTTGCAACTGAGGCTGTTTCTCCTCAACTTCTGTTGCACTCAGAAAAGTAAATCCTTGCAGTCCCAAAGGTGGTGAAGCTTCTGTTATCTCTGTTGGCTGTAGAAACAAAATCATATTTAAATTCTACAGTGATGGAATGGCAAGCCATGCAGCAAGGTTCCAAGAACATTATGATAATCCTGTGTAGGTTGTTAGAGCCCTGATGGATTAATAGTTGTCTTCAGACATTTTCTTTACACTTAATTTACTTGCATGCTGCCCTAGTTTTGCTGGAACAGAGTTTTTTTCCTTTCCCTCGAAGTAGCTAATGAGAATTTTATTTTGGGTTTGTGCTGGGACTGATGATAACACACCAGTATTTACATTTTTAAGGTTTATTTTCCAGTCTTTCTACTGCACCTGTGGTTATAGCTTCTTTGGGGTTTTTTTTGGTTTGTTGGGGTTTTTTGGTTTGGTTTTTTGTGGGGGTGTTTGTGGGGTTTTGTTGTTTTTTGTGTTGGGTTTTTTTTGTTCCCTTTCTTTTTCTTCTCTTTACACAAGAGGATTGGGAGAAGGCAAAAGCCCAGGACTCTCTGGGACACGTGACCCAGTGACAGAAGATTCAGGTGCATCCAAGCTGACCAGTAAAAATGTATTCTATCCCATAAATGTCATACTCACAATAAATTAGGGAGTTTGCAGGGGATGACCTCTTCCCTTTCTTTCTTTGATTCCTCCTTCGATCCCTTCTCTTCCCGTCCCTTCAACATCGTGGTGGTAGCCTTCTCGACCTCTTCCCTTTCTTTCTTTGATTCCTCCTTTGATCCCTTCTCTTCCTGTCCCTTCAACATTGTGGTGGTAGCCTTCTCAGTTCCTGAGGCTCACCCCTCCCTTCTCCCATTTTCATTGGCATACAGCCAGCGGCTGCTGTCTGGGACCTGAGTACAGCTTTTGATTGCTTTATTACCATTGTTCCTATTCTTGTTGCAGTTCATTGGTATTATTACTAATATTTCAGTTTGGTTTATTTTACTTATTAAATAGTCTTTATCTCAACTGATGAGGTCTTTTACTCTCCTGATTCTCTTTCCCATCCTACTGGGGGAGAGTGGGCAAGCATGTGTGGGGTCCTTAGTTGCCTACCAAGGTTAGCCCACACCACTTTGCAACCCTTCACTTCCTTCCCTAGTTCCAGCTGCTTCTCCTGTCTTCTTTTGCACTACAACTTCTCTACGTAAAATGAAGCCACATATGAAGAGAGCTTAAGAAAGAACAATTCGCCCTTAAGCATTTGGTATACCTTTACTTAAAAAAATTGAGAAGTTTATACCTTAGCATAACGTATCTTGTCTGATTGTTAAATAACAATACTTGTAAAGTAACACTACAAAACCTGAAGTCTTTGATATACATTCCTATAATGAAAGGATATGGCTTGGGGACAAGTAAGGGAGAAGAAAATAATTATTTCTGTAAGCATTCATTTACTGGGTGATGCGTGCATACAGACAGACATCCCTTCACAACAAGTTTTTTAAAGTGTTAACCAAAGAGAAGTATATAAGATATTGTACCTCTTTTGATACTTTTACTTAAAATAGAAATATTTTTAAAACAGCTAAATGAGGGCAATACCTGTTCTTGTGGTTGTTGCTGCTTGTCATCTTCTTTCTTCTTTAATTTCTTCTCCAGGTCCTCAATTTTCTTTTGTATTTCTTCCTTCTTCTGTGCTATGTCCTGTATCTCCTCTAAGGAAGAAAAGCTTTTAAGGCACAATGCATATTTCACATGCAATCTGTGGCTAAAGCCTAAATTATCTTTAAAGGGACTAAAACCTCATATTGTCTTTCTCTGTTTCACTGCTTACATGTAAAGCTGTCAGATACATTACTTTCTCTATGCCTCAGAGCAGTTAAACAACGATTCCAGTAGAAAAAGAAAAGCAGGTGCAATAACAGACAGATGTATGCTGATAAGAAGTAAGTATAATTATATGATTCTATCTCAGAAAGCCTTATGCCATCCCACTTTGAAGCATACCTTCAGTTTTCTTTAATACTTTCTTTCTGTAGATTTCAGCTCGAATCTCTTCCAAAGAAAATTCTTCGACTCCAGCATAAACCTTATCTTTACAGTACATCACCTCTGTCTTGTCTTGAGTATCCTTCTGATGATTTTGCACTCGCTGTAGTGGATCCTCCTCTTTCTCAGGTTTGCGAGCACTTAGAACACAGTTTATGCTGGGCTCAATTTTGCAGGGAGTCCTGAAAAAACATGCAGTTATTACTTTGATTATATGTACTTCGCTGTAACACAGAAAAGCACGCACAGGAGAGAAAATAGCTAATTCCAGAATCTAGCTGTAGAGTAGTCTGAAGACATTCTGGTCCGCTGATAGAAAAAAAGAAAAACAAACAAGAAAAATGGAATGACAGCACATAAAAGGCAAGTATACCAACTCAGAATTGTGTAATCAAAAAACCCCAAACAACTAAATCAAACTGAAGTGTTAATAAGGCCCAGTCAAGAGCAAACAGAAGTCTTAGGATACTCTGAATTGTTGTGCATTCTGGAGCAGGTTCTATATTCACTTTAGCTCCATTGATCTGTGTGACCACACAGGTGACAAGTCCCTAACCATCCTACAAAACTGTTTATAGGGACTGAGGGTGGGGATCAGCAGGACATAAAAATGGAAGATCTTGGACTAGATAAAGCAAAAAAGGGAAGATTTAAGATGCAATAAGAGGGGAGTTTGCCCAAGGAGAATGTTTTGCATGTCAAGCGACAGAAATTAAGTGCCTCATTAAAAAAAAATAAACAAAACTCCATTACTGAGCAGTGAAAGGAGTCTGTAGCAATCAATTTCTTAGCTTGAAAGTGCTACATGCTAATTTCAGGAAAGAGGAACAAGAATTTGTACAGTTGTACAGATACCAGTAATCCAGATGACTCCAGCAATTATCTGTACCTCAATAAAAGATGATCTGAACAACTGACCCTGAAAAATGTAACTGTGCTCTAGGTAATAAATAGTTCAAAAGTAAACACAATGCACAGTTCCAAGACATCTGTTTTGCATGTGAATGGACTCACAACCAAACAGGTGCTCCTAATGGTTGGGTTTGGGGTTTTTTTTAAAGCTTTTATTTGCAGGGGCGGAGGCTTATTACCAAGATCACTACAGGGTCCTTCTACCCAAGTCTCTGGATGAAAACTGATGGCATGATTTGCATTATGTTTACACAAATTCAACACAGCACTTTCAGACTTGATTTGGTTGATGGCCATGGCATCAGGAGGAAACTTGCTTTTAAACTTTCAACTATGTAATAAAAAATTATGTACAAACTCTCTGCTCAAAGTGCTTACAGCTAATTTAGCATGATGTTCAGTTCCCACTCATTCCTTCATTTTCCCTGGTAGAAAAGGATGCTGCCTCCTGTAAATAATAAATCTTCATGTAAGAGATACTACAATGTCAAGAGATCCAATTCCATGGCATCACTGACTCTCAGGAGCAAGAAGTAGTCTTATAGCTTAGACAGAAACTAGTTTTTTTCTTAAACTAAATTGTGTTATGTCCTTGGTCAGAGCTACTCTGCAGTCCACGTGCAACATACAAAACTCACAGGAAAAAACCATGCTGTTCAGCATCCTTTGATTATATGCAATTCAGAGCCAAGGAAGCCATCTAATATCAAACATTCTTTTCCATTTCTCCTTAGGAAGAACCTATGCTTTCTGTGGCTATCGTTAGCCACAGAACAAGAAAGTTAAGCAGCTTTGCAAAATAATAATATAGAGCAACTCCATCTCCTGGCATGTATCAGCATTTCAGGGAGAACTGTACACACAGGAAGGTAATTTCAGGCAAAACAGCATACTCCTCCATAACCTAAGCAACACTGTTGTCATGGAAACTGATAACTTGTTTCAGAATAAAACTCCAGATAGAATAAGCACAGAGTTCCCAAGATAGAGGAAAACAGCAGTAAGCCTGTCTCAGTTTCGAGCTGCTTTCATAGCATACAGCATCTTAAGAGAGATAACTGTGTTTTTGTGTAAACACACTGAGTTAAGCTATTAGCATGTATAAATATGATACAGGCTTCCATATAATGAACAGCGATAATCAAACACTTCATACGTCCTTATGCATCCTCCAGTGAAGCCTCTGCCATCAAGCTAAAGCACTAAGAGCTTCCAGGTTGACAGATTAAGTTCTAGTAGACCTAAAAGCTTGGCTATTTAGCAAAACAAGTCAGATTTTTACAAAGCACCTTCGATAATTTCAAATGCAATCCCCATTTCAAACCAAAGACTCACATGACTTGTTGCTGAGCTGACTCTTCCACATAGGGTGTGAAACTGGGCAGTGGGTAGGGCACTTCTATACCAGAATTTGCACTGTTGCGAGGACGCTGAGGAAGAAAAAAGTCAATGATAATAGTTTAAAGATTCATTTTTAGACACTACATTCTTCTATACTCTGAATCTCATTTTCGCCCAGTGTTTGGCTCATTTGTAGGTTTTGTCATTAAGGAAAAAACAAAAACAACAACAACAACAAAAAAAACAAACAAAAAAACACCAGAACACACACAAAAAAACCCCAAACACAAACCTGATAGACTTTCCCAAGATTAATTTACAAGATTAACCCTGTTCTGAGACATAAACAATTACAGATCATCAGCTGATCACTAGCACCTAAAAAAGCAAGACATACTCCTCCTACATGTCCTCACCAGTACCTAGTTTCTGCTACTCTGAGAGCATGTTGGTCAAGCTAGGCATTCCAGTTGCTTCTCTTGTTCGTTTTCCAGAAATTCTGTGTCTTTTTTTGTTTAGCCAAGACTGTCCCAAATCCTCTGACAGTGTTTCTTCTGCTGTCTGCCAAGAACCTCCAAAACTTCTCAATTTTCCTTTGAGAGGCCATTCCAACACTACCAAAATCCTTTAACTGCTTCTGGAGTCCGTTATTTAAGAGAAGCCAGATGGAACGCAATCTGACAACATTCTGCTCTCATCTGCCTCCTTGAAATTCCCCAAGACTCTTAAGCAGAAAAAGTTACATGGTGGGGATATTTCACAAACTTGACTCCTCTTTTCAACCATCTTTCAAACTGTTTACTTAGCCATCTTCACACTGGCAATAAAACAGAGGTCTCTTTCTTCTGTGCAGCTCTTTCACTTTAATACAAGCCAGAATGAGCACCACACTTCAGTGAAGGTGAACTAAATATCTTCAACTCTTCTGTTGGTGGCAGCTTTTTCTTTTTTTTTTTTTTAAATTAAATCTAACAAAATTAATGAAAGGGGAGACAGGGAGAACTCTAAGGACAAACATTAAAAGAATACAGAAGCATTTGGAGACCAGAATGAGTGTGTTAAGCAGCACAAAGTAAGGCAACTGAAAAAGTTTTACATTAATAATTCTTCCTTTTCATTCTTAGCTATATTAAAGCTGTGATTTACTGAATTTTTCCATTCACTTAACGAAATTGCTTTGTATCTGGCAGTAATTTGCAGAGAAATATCAACAGGCTGCAAGCCAAGGCACCACAGAAGCTGGGATTCCCATAAGAACATTATTAAAAGAATAAATAGCAGTTGGGATTTATACAAAGGCAATCTTTAAAAGACTAAACTATGTTATTATTAAGTATAACAGGACCTTGGACCAGCCTAAAAGTAGGAGTTCAAAACTACACCAAGCACTGTGTGCCTGGGTTATCTCAACCAGAACACTGGTTGAACGGTGTGCATGGTGTGTGGCAGAGTATCTTGGTCTTGGAACACCTGGCCATAAAGTATGGGAAATGATGGATCAGAAAGTGCTGTAGTGTGTGAACATCCTGATTGGCTGCACAGTCAGGTCCTTATCTGTAGCTATAAAAGTAGAGGTAGAAAATAAAAACTTCACTTGGAAATAGCTTAATAGAATAGCTTAAACATTGTAGCACAGCTGCTTCTTTTCATGTCTCCAGCATTAGTTTAAACCATTGGAACCTACTTCCTGTCATCCTATTGCCAGGATAAATACTCCATTGATACAGTCGTTCTTCAATTCTTTTGATCTCCATTCTTCTGTTTTCCTCATAAGGACTTCAAAAGAGACTTGCAGAATGCTGTACATGTCTTATTTTCATAAGAAGATAGGCAACAAGTTCTTCCTTCAAGTTGTATTGTATTATATCATTTTAACATTTGTTCTTCTTTTCTACTGAATTAGCTAATGTCTGGCTTCTCTCCCGTTCTTTAGCTAGTGTTTTTTCTCTTATATTCCTTTTCTGCCCTCCAAACAGCTTGGCAGGCCACCTCTACCAATTTTTCTGATTAGCAAGAATTATAATTTCTTGATTTAAGAACTCTAAAGTTCTTAAAACTTATTCTAGCAATATAAGCTTGCTAAACTTTAATAGGTTACACATAGCCAGAGACTCTTAAGGACAAAGCTAGGAAGAATGTTAGTTACTGACACAAACCCCAGGCAAGGGAGAAAGAGTACAACCTT